TCTGCAACTGTTCATGGAAATGGCGCAAAGCTAGGCAACGCTCCATCCTGCTGTGATGGGGTCGTCATGAATCCACAGCCACTAACAATAAAAGCAACAAGGATCTGACATTATTCGTAGGGCTCTACCTATTGTAACACATTGCAACTTCCCAGCAGGCCTTCAAATTAGTATCATTTCATAGGTGAAGTAACTGAGACCCAGAGGTTAGGCTCCCTCACCAAAGTGAGAAGGCCAGGAAGATATAAAATCTAAGCATAGCAGTCTATTTCCAGATCCCAAGTGTTCAGCCGTTTCACCATGTTGTTTTGTCCCAAGAAGTGATTTATGAGGCTGTTACAGTTACTGATATCATAACTACACTGTAGCTGTTCATTAGTGTATCCATCTAGACTATTGATTCTCAGCCTGGGCTGTACATTAGAATTGCTTGAGGAGCGTTTAGAAAAAATACATGCAACTGGATCACACCTCACATAACAAAACAGTAGATTCTCTAGGTGTGGGGCTCCAGTGGTGTGCTGGAGGCAGCTCAAACTAACTTGCAAGTGATGATGGTTAAATTTTCAGAAGTTTTACAAGATAGCTTAAAATTGATCATGGTGGGAGGATTTATATCACAGAAATGGGCAGACAGTCCAAATCAAAGGCTTCTTGTTGGGGGAGTGAAGAATCTCTCAGCAACATACCACTGGGTAAAGCACAGGCATCAGTATTTTTTTAAGTTCCCCAGGAGATACCAGTGTGCCCACAAGATTGAGAACTGTGAATTTAGATGTGCATTCTGCCTTCATATTGGAAGAACAACATATAATAGCTAAGAAAAGATTATTAGATCTAGGTGATTGTTATCACTATCTCTTTCCTCAATAAGATTGCAAGCATTCCTAATTTTTCAGCTCAGGGATAATTCTTGATCCTGGAATGTATTCTTACTCTCTTTGCAATTGACCTAAGTTAAAAGGCCAGCAAGTGATTCATACTTACTCTTCTTGAAGTGTTCCAAATCAAAATAAGGATCTAACCCTGATTCTCTGTAGAGAAATTTTATGTCAAAAGTATCTGTTATAAGAGGGAAACACTTAAATTCTGTAAATACTGTGGCATATTGGACATTTTATCCATCTAAACGCTACTTCAATGGGTTCAGGCTGACCTGCATGGCCATTTATTGGCAGTCAAGCGCTTCAATCACTGTACCACCAGGGCTGCTTCTTTTTACTATATCAAAAAAGAAAGAAAAAGACCACTGCTTTGGAGTTAATTCTCACTCACGTTATTGTTGTTAAGTGCCTCATAACAATTCTAAAAAATATTTCTGAGACTGTAAATCTTTACGGGAGCAGACAGTCACATATTTCTCCAATGGAGCGGCTGATGTGGATTTGAACCACTGATCTGGTGGTTAGCAGCCCAATGCCTAATCTACAGCACTACAAGGAGTCAAATTCATGTTATCCTCTTCCTGTGTGAATCCCAAGTTCGTTTGATGTAATTTTCTCCCAACATTAAATTCTAGTCCTCATTTACAATCCTTCAGTATATCTTAGGGCTTCAAGCCATTTGAACCAGTTCAGTCCTGGCCAAAGCAGTGAAATCACAATAGACCCAAATTTGTAAAATATGGATTCAGTGGAACAATAACTGGAATTTGAAAAACCGTGGGTCAAAGCTCTGGAATGGGAGGCTCAGAAGAGACATAGTGAGCCTTTTCAGGAAACTAGAGTATTGTCAGGACTGTGGAGAGCGACACACATTTCAAACCAACATAGTCAGCCACCATCTTTGATCAGGGCATGGTTGTCTCCAACTCTGATGGTAAAGAGATTTGGTTCCTATGCAACAAACATGCTGCCTGTGTTTTCTAAGAGTGACATAAGTCTCTAGCTGGAGTCTATCTGCAAGTGTTCCAGACCTAGATATTATTCAGATATACCCATGTTTTACAAATCAAAATCTGTTCCAATTTCTGTTGATCAGTCAAGATGGAACCAGGAAGAACCAGTGTGAAGCCCTGATATGTTTGCATTAGTGGACTAGGGGTATATGAGCTGCAGAATGAGGAGACATGTTCCTATTAGACAAAGTAATATTTTTCCTGTCAAGCAATAGTATTTTCTTGACTTTTCTTTGACATACATCTTTAAAATGCACTACTCCTTGTTCATGCATAACCAGGAACAATTGGGAGGTGAGACACACTGGAACACAATTACAATTTATAGTAGAAGTTTTGCTAAAAATGACTCCCAGGTAGTTTTGTGTCCATTACTATACAGAAATCTCTTGGCCACACCTCTGTTAATCTTGCCTGCCACCTATCATTGTTGATAGTCAATGCTAATGCAGGCATGATTATAACACTACATTTACTATTTCCCAGCATACCATATTTATACTTACTTTGACAAAAGGAGCTCTGGTAGCGTAGTGGTTACGAATCGGGCTGCGAACCTTAAGGTCAGCGGTTCGAAACTACCAGCTGCACCACGGGAGAAAGATGAGGCTTTCTACTCCCGTAAAGATTTACACCCTCGGAAACCCTATACAGGGTCGCTATGGGTCGGAACCAACTCGATGGCACATAACAACAACAACAAGTGATACGTATTACTTTTTTTTTTTTAATAGTATGAATTGAGCCTTTACTTCCAAAGGCTGCATCAAATTGTTAGAATACAATGTGCATGAAACAGCTTCTTTTAGCATTATTATGTTGGTGTTTAGAAAGAAGCAGGTAGTACAGAATGACCTAAAAGATGCTGCTGAAAAAAGAAATGGGTCTTTCCTTTTCCTACACCATTAAGTTGAATCAACATTTATCTAAATGAAACTCATTTCCAACTGTCAGAAAAACTCCTCTCCTCAACCAATGATTAAGCTACAGCTTTTTCCTAGTGATCAAAAAGAATTTTACAGAGGAGTGTGTATGTTGTGGGGAGCACGGTGGCTCCATACGAGAAGCACTGGACCGCAAACCACAAGGTTGGCAGTTCAAGCTCACCAGCTGCTCCACAGGAGAAAGATGAGGCTTTTGCTCACAACGATTTAAAACCTCAGAAACTCTATAGAGTGTCACTATGAGTCGGAACCAACTCAACTGTTGTTATTAAGTGCCACTGAGTCAATTCTGACTCATAGCTACCTTGTATACCATTTTCAAGGAGCTGTTGGTGGGTTTGAACCACCAACCTTGTGGCTAGTAGTCCAGCACTTACCCTACAGCACCATGCCAGGACTCTGGTGTGTATGTTGAGAAGAGGTAAATTATTGATATATTCTCAGGTATATCTTTTCTAACTGGTCAAACTGTGGCAGCTATCTCTCCCCCTTTCCCTTGCCTTTGCTGCTATAGCAGAACTGTAGCTGCTTCTGCTTTCCATGATGCATTTCTCCCTGTGTGCCCTCTGGCAGCATGGTGGCACCCAACACTATGAGGTTCCCCTCCACAGGCTTTCTTGTTAGCAGGTTCTCATTCGGAGGTATTCACTGACTGAATAGCAGACATGTTCCTGTCCTGTGTTTCTTCCTGTGTTACTGAAAGCTACTAATGACTCTTTTGTGCTCCTTTAAAATCACAAAAGACACAAATACCAGTTTCCTATAACAGCAGCAACTTGTTCTCTCAGATATCTCAAGGAAAGATACCTTCCTTGAAAAATGCCCTAGAGCAGAGCATTCCAGGAATAGTGGATGACTGAAGGAATGAAGGTTTCTCATCATTTCTCTTCATGAGTAATGGCAGAAAGCGTTTTCCAGACTCCATGTGAGAAAGATAGCCAGAAACACAGAGTCAAATATTTTTCCTGCTTTAAAGTTTATCCATTATCTGCATGAACAATTTGTATCTTCTAGGAAGTTGTTCAGGTATTTAGGTTTTGCCTAACACCAAGAATAAAATTCTTAAAGAGACTTCTGACTATATAGAGTAAAATCTTGGTTGAAGATAGAGGATGAAATGAAGGAAAAACAAATATTTCAAGATCATAGATGAGCTACTTATAATAATTTTGTCAAAGATAATTTAATAGTAGAACCAAACATTCTTTTAAGAATACAAAAGAACTAGAGAATTTACGGAGCCCTTTGTGGGTCAAAGATTATTGAATGTAGAAATGTGAATAGTATCTTTAGTACATTTGTATGTGAATGTAGTTATATGGATCAGGTACATCATAGATTAAGTTCTGGCCGTAAAAGCAACTTAAAAAAAAAAAGAGGAAGAAGTTGCTGTCAAGTCAATTCTTACTTGAATCCTACCATGTGTGACGTGTATCAGAGTAGAACTGCATCACAGGTGTTCAATACCACATATTTCAGTAGTAGATCACCAGACCTTTCTTTTAAGTTGCCTCTGGATGAACTCGAACCTCCAGCCTTTTGGTTACTACCCAAGCTCGTTAACCATTTGTACTACCAAGGAACTCGAAAAAGTGACTAAGTGGCATATCTTTGTATAGCACATTACACTTCAGCACCTAGAAATTAGATATTTATCATAAGCCTAAGATGTTTTGGGAATTGTGACCAATCATCCACCATCACCAGGTAGAAATTCTCAGATCTCTGAAGTGTTTCCCTTTACTGTGATCATGAAGAAGCGGTTTTAAAAGATGGTACACCCTCCCAGTCTTTATTCCCATTGCCTTGGTAAGTGGCAACTGTCTAACTCCAGTGACTGGTGATGAGTTTTGTCACGTAGAAATTCAAGGGCATTGTGCCACCTGTAAGTGGCAAGTATTACACCCATGCAGAGGGTGGGGTTCTCTCCTTCCCAGAGCCTCATTAAAGGGGTGTGAGAAACTTAAAAAGTGTTTTTAAGCACATTACACCTAAATGTTCCCATCCTAGGAAACGAGGCTTAATGTGAGTCTTTATATAGCTTCTTTAATTAGAACTGACAGAAGGTTACATAAAATTACATAGAAATAACTTGCTTTGTTTGTCAATTCCACTTTCTAGGTTCCATTGAACATAAAAGTTTATTTGTATTTTTTTAGAAGTCTCATCGCAAACGGAAATCTGTGACATTCAACAAGACTGGAAGCCTTCATTCCTCAGTAATGAAGAATTCACCCAGCTGATGTTGGAGGTGAAAATGTACTTTCAAATTAGCTTAATCAGTTGCAAATCAAAACGTAGCTACTTGTTCCCGATAAGAATGACCCTGTGCCCAAAGTAAACAAGTGTATTCGACCCAGGAAAGAGGTCCTGATTGAGATACTCTGGGAGGTTCTGCATGCTATTGCTTATATTTTGGCCACCAAGATGGAGGATATAATGAAGAATACCCAAACTGTGCATGATCATATGTGGTCCCCAAAGTCACTTCTAGGAGAGCCCTCGTATGTCACACAATGTAACCGGGCTGTCAGGAGGGGGTGGGTGTTGTAAGAAGTAGTTGGAGCAAGATGAGGAAGGGAAGAAAGATTACATCACCCTACACTGTCATTTGATTCAAAGAATCTCCCATTTAGAATGCAATGATCTTATTTTCTTCCCTTTGTAGGAACACATTTTGAAGATAAAAATGTTCTTTTAAAGTTATACTTTTAACGTGAGCTCACATTATGTCAATATGGCTTGTGTGTGCCAACCATAAGTGGACCTGTGCCTCTCCATCCCATATACAGGTTCAGGTTTCTTCCTTTAGAAGATTCGGTGCTTCATAAGAGCTGTATGAGGGTCTTCAAAAACTTCGTCGGAAAATGGAATTAAAAGAAAATGGAATTCATTCACAGACTTTTTGAAGTTCTGTTGATGGCCTGAGAAAGTGGCCTATCTAAACATGGTATATTTTGATATGGGTGAAAGTATTCCATCACTGAGGAGAATTACTCTCGACAGAAACATCCAACTGTGGTTGTTCGGATTTCTAAGCAGGGCATAAGGCCAGCAAAGTGCCTGGACTCTGAAGGATAGTGGGGCTCAGTGGGGAAGGGCCTGTTTGTGCACTTGACCAAGAAGAGAAGAACCTAGGAAAATGAGCTCAGAAAAAGGAAGTTCAACACTGGTTGAACTTTTTGTCACTGGTTACTGCCAGGCAGTTTGGAGAGACTGGCTTCTTGGACTATCCAGTGAAACCTGTGAAAGTCAGAACTCAACAAGACTACTTTGTTTTGCTGGGTCTCAAGTTTTCCACCTTTGACAGGGTGCAGGCTTACCACGTTCTATCACTCTCTATTAGTGGAAAAAATCTGAATTTTCCTTCCCTGTCAGGTTTCAGTTTTATACGTATTCTGGCTTTCTCAGGTTTTACTGTATCTTTCTATATCTAGTCTTCAGTGCCTATATAAGACTGATGTAAACTTCCATTTACGTAGAGGAAGCAGAAAACAGAAAGTACTTGAGTAAGAAATGCCAGAATGAAGATGTCCAAATATTATGAAGTATAAAAGCATTAATGAAGATTTGCATAAAATGAAAGATACTTAAATCTACATGTGAGCTGTATTTAAAGAAAATACAGAACTTTCACCAGAAGCAGTGCATTTTAAGTGTGTTAAATTTAGAGCCGCTTGTGATATACAATGTTGAATTAATGCACCATTGTGCTATTTTACATAAGTCATTTTATCTTTTAATTCTTATGGGAAAATAGGTAAAATGCATACATAACCTTATCTCACCAGCCCCTTTAACAGTGTTTAAAAAAAATATTTTTTCATTTTTTTCCCAGTGAGTATCCAGGTATCAAAATTGTTTTAAGTGCTACTTACTTACAAAACTTGGGAGCAATCTTGCATATATAATTATGTTATTGTTGTTGTTAGTACGTGCCATTGCATGAGTTCTGGCTCATATTGAACCTATGTCATGTTTCCGAGGAGCAGCTGGTGGGTTTGAACCACTAACCTTGTGGTTCACAGTACAGTACTTATCTTACAGCATCCCACCAAGAGTCAAGTCTCTTAACAATGAAGTTAAAAATGGAAAAATATTTGGGCTGGAAGTCAGGACTGATAGTGGAAGACTGGCATTTCTAGAGAAAGACTGCTATAGATTTGTATGCATAGAAAGAATATGTATATATTCTTTATGCCGTTTCCCCCCTGTTCCTGGTATAGACTCCTCAAAGCATATTGAAAGGGAATCACACTAGGTGAATGAACTGGGTAAGAAATAAAGCCTACATACCTAGATGGGTGTTCTAGGTGAATTGAAAGTTTGAGTTGCCTGGTGAATCCACCAACTTTTGAATTAACTTAGACTTCTATCCCAATCTGTTCTTCTGTAGATGCAGACACAAAACAAAAATAAATCCACTGCCATCGAGTCAGTTCCCACTCACGGTGTCCCTGTAGGGCAGAATGGAACTGTTCTGTAGAGCTTCCGGGACTGTGGGAGTATCCAGCCTCATCTTCTCACACAGAGCAGCTGGCTGGTGGTTTGAACCACAGACTTTGTGATTAACAACCCAATGCTTAACCTGCTACACTGCCTGGGTTCCTTCGACACAGACTTATAATGACTAGCTGGAACTTTCCAGTTTCTTCTACCTCATATTTTGAGCCCTGGTTCTGAGGGGCCATCATTTCCCTTTATCATGTGTGCTCTATGCCAGCTGCACAGCCTCTATTTTTTTTCGGAGCCGTTTCTGAGAACTTGAATCTAGATGCTACGTCTTGATAGACCAGGCTCCTCTTTTTAAATGAGGACGGACCAGTATAAAGCCTATCGTGCCCCTGGGAAATACTGGTGCCTTTTGGGTGCAAATCCTTTCTTCTTTCCTCTTCCTATACCCACAAGGCACATAAGCAGTCTCAAGAAAACACATAACAACTGTGAAGCTTGAGAGAGCAAAAATGACTTCGTAGCAGACCAGCCAAGCTGATAAAGTACTAGCTTCTCACCAGAAGCTGAAGAAAACTGACAACAAGCATTTGAACAGGTAGATTCAAAAGGAGAGAAATCTCTTTCTGTACAGGGATTAGGGAATTTGTGGTAGTTCTGAACTGTATTCAGAAAAGCTACAGCAGTCTTTTCTCTTAGCCCAAAGATTGTCTCAGAGAACACAGGAATTTGGCAGAAAGGGCATGGCTCCATGTAAAATTCTGCACGAATATGGCTTTGTAATAAAGTCACCTTTACATAGATGGGACACATCTGTGCACAATAATTTTGTATTGACTCGCTCTCAAATGATGCTGGTGGGCTTCTAAAACCATAGCAAGTGTTCTTACAGCAGTTAGTGCAGTTCTTGTATGTTTGATGGAAAATGACAATGAGCTGATGAAAAGTTATCTTCCATCTATAAATACCTTCAGCTTTTAACACCCACTTGCTTTAAGAATTCAAGAGGGACCAGGGCTCACTGTGAAAAGAAGATCATTTGTATTACTCTTGCTTTCCCCCAGCCTTCCAATCTGCTTCACTTCATCCACAGGTCTCCCACCCTTAAAAAAAGATTCACCTCCAGAAGGGCTGCAAAGCTGACTTTAAAAACAATTTAGAAAAACATTTGAGGGAAAAAAAAGAAGTAAAAGATATTAGGATGTTCTGGTGTGACGCTGTAGGATCAGCACTGGACTGCTAACCACAAGGCTGGCAGTTCAGACCCACCAGCCGCTCCTCAGAAACCCTAGACATTATGTGTATGAGTCGGAACCAACTCAACGGCACTTAACAACAACGATCCTTTCTTATAGAAGTCTTGCCCTATATATTATAGGATATCCAGCAGTACCCCTGGACTCTCCCCACTAAATGCCAGTAGCAATTGTGACAACTAGAAACGTCTCCAGACATTACCAGATGTTCCCTTGAGGGGGCAACATTGCCACCACTTGAGGACAATTAATGTATTCCAAAAGAAGTCAGTTTGAAAAGTGTGCTTTAATACACTTTTCAATCTCACAGCTCACAATTGTATGTCAGTGTAAGAGCGTAAATGAGTCTAGTGGTGATTTGGGTGATGAAAAGAGCTTTCTCCATGCTGGTACTTTGTAGCAGATGCCCTCCACACACATTTAGTGGACTGTTTCTGGTTTCTGCTGCACACCCTTCTGAGTTGAAAGAATGTATGCTCTTTGGGCTTTGCAGATCTCAGCAGTACCCTTGAAGCATCTAGCCGAGGGCATGCAAAATTCTTCTAGAGCTTTCTAAGTACATATTTCAGGGCTCCCCCACCCCAAAGCAAAATTCTCAGATTTCAGAGATTCAAAGTGCAGTCAGTAAAATGATGGCAATAGGTCTGCAGTGAAAGTCCACTTGAACATGTTACTTCCTCAGTTCTGGTGAGGTGGGCTGTGTTTTTCATCTCTTCCCTCCCACCAGTGTGCCATGTATAGCTAGTTGCCAGCATGACCCCATTCTTTGCTGAATTACATGGTCTGAATTTTAGAAACCAACTTTCAGATGTCTCTTAGGAATGTATTATAAGAATTAGATAGCTAATCCTTATACCTTTCAACAAAATACTTTTTCAGACATTCTGAAATACTTATAGGTCCAGTTGAGTCACACAATATCCATCCTCCTTGACTTCCCCCCCCCCACACACACACACTTTTGTGGAATAATGTGCAAGTTCTTTATAAATAATTCCTTTAATAGTGTTTATCTTAATGGAGTCTTGGTGTGGTGCTGTGGGCTAATGCGTCAGACTGCAAAGTCATTTGAACTTCAAGGTCGGTGGCTCAAGCTCACCAGCTGCTCCTTGGAAACCCTATACAGGGTCGCTATGGGTCAGAATTGTCTCAACAGCACTTAACAACAACAACAACATCTTAATGTAGTGGAGATAGCAGAGGTCTACCCTGGCTAATAGGCAGGCTGGTTTTAATGCATCTATTAGCTTTGATGTTTTTCAGTAAATGTTTATTGCTGAACTCAAAGTGATCTCAGGGGTAAGGTGACCGGATATTGCTGGATTCTTTTAATGATAACGGTGGTATTTCTGATTCAGCTCAATAATGTGCTGGTCAATAAAACACTTAGGTGATGTCCATGGCTGGATTCTATTTTAGGATACCAAGAGGTCAACATTTTCACTGAGCCTTACAGTGCTTTTGCAGGCATTCTGCCTGAGCCTGACAGATTCTGTGTAAGGAACCATACTGTGTGCGCACCAGCCAAGTGCTACACAGTTACTCGTGAAACTGTCACGAGACTTACAAAACAAAGTCCACACGATAAAGCGGGCTCCTTTCCCTTAGTGACACGCTTCTCAGTAAAAGTATCATTAAAGAGCTCTCAAATGTTGCATTTTCCACAGGCATTAGATGGCTTCATTATCGCAGTGACAACAGATGGCAGCATCATATATGTGTCTGACAGTATCACGCCTCTTCTTGGGCATTTACCGGTGAGTTTCTCCTCTAGTGGCCTTGCCTGCACATGTGATTCCACTTTTCTTGAGATTCCATCAAATCTCATATCAAGATATGTGGGGTCTGTTTTTGAGAAGGGAATGAGCTGGCGGGGAGGGAGTAAGGGGCATAGAGTTCAGGAGGATGTGACCAAACCAGAGGTCAGTGTCCTGCATTAGCAGTGTGTAACTGTCCTGGTGTGGAGTCGTGGTTTGGTGCTGTAGGATAAGCACTAGACCACAAGGTCGGCAGTTCAAATTCACCAACTGCTCCTTGGAAACCCTATGCAGGGTTGCTATGAGTCAGAATGGACTTGACGGCACTTAACATAAAGTCTGAAACCCTGGTGTGGCACTGTAGGAAATGCACTGGGTTACTAACAGCAAGGTTGGTGGTTCAACTCTATAAGCCGCTCCTTGGAAACCCTATACAGGAACTGACTTGATAGCACTTAACAACAACAAGTTTTGTTGTCAGTTGTCATGGCAACCATATGTGCAGCAGAAGAGAATGCTGCCCGGTCCTCCAGCGTCTTCATGACCATGGGTATGTGTAAGCCATTGTTGTGAACAATGTGTATTTTGAGTGCCCACCAGCTGCCTTCCCTCTTCCAGCACTATACCTGGCAGTGTTGTGTTGTGACTTTCCTTGGGCTAATTATCGGAGGTAGATCACCAGTCCTTTCTTCCTACTCTTAGTCTGGAAGTTCTGATGAAACCTGTTCTCCATGGACAACCCAGCTGGTGGTTGAGCTACTGGTGGCATAGCAACATATGAGCTACTGTATTACACAAACAAGCAGACAGGTTGTGGTGGGGAACAACCTTAGTCAAGGCAAGACCTGGAGTATGGGAGATGGGTATATCTTATCCTTGGTTAGGAACAGTAGAGAAATCATGAGCCCTACGAGTGAATCTCAGCACAGTTATGGAGCTGAGATCCTTTGCAGAGGTTCATAGTTGTCATCCAAAGGAACTCCCTGCCTGCTTGGAGCTAGTTAGCGCTGATTGAGGAATAGTGGAGGTGTGGGGCATGGTGGGAAAGTGTCTGAGAGTTTAGCAACTAATGGTTCAATGACAGGGTGATTCTTAGGAGATGGAGACTCTGGGAAGACACTGCTGGACCATGAAGGCCTTGGGGAATGAGGAGGATTTGGGTAGGCAGAGAGGAGAGGAGAGGGTACACCTTTCAGCCAAAGTGAGTGAGAATGGGGCTTGGAGGTGGGGGTGATGGCAGCTCTTCCCTCCTTCCTTCTTCCCTGATGCTTCTGCCTCTCTGCATACTCCTTGCTGGTGTTCTGGAGACTCCGTAAGTTAAGATGAATTGATTTAGGAATATGAACCCGGCTTGTGTAAGATCTGCCTTTGAAGATCCCTCATAGGTGTTTGTCTTTCATTTCTGCCACATCATTATGTATCCCTCCAGGGCCTTGACCCTGAATGACAAGTCCGCCAGGAGCATCAAATGTCCTCTTCTTTCTCCTCCCAGCAAGCACAGCCAAGCCACTTCACATTCCCAATCTCAATGGATGGGCCACCAGTTTATGTCATGAGGGGTTAACAGCTTGCCCTGGCTTCCCGGATACTGACGATGTCTTTCCTGGGTCAGGAAGCCAATGAGGATTGTGGTTCTCTCTCTTGGGCCTCGCCTGTCCACAGTGCAGTGTAGCCTTGCTCTGTGGGCTTGTACCTCTGTTGGCGTGATCAGATCAGCTCTGCCAGTGGCCACTGAGTACCACACCACATCATCCTAAGTGATAATTTTCCTGAGAAACCATTCCTCCCTCCATTTTTCCTTCCAACAAGGCCAAAGCCTCCCACATCATTCCTTTGCCAGTTGTAGTGTGTCATGACCCAGAAAAGCATCTTTGACTTTGTTAGGTAGGTGCCTTCGCATTATACTGCAGTCTGTCTAACTTTTGTGTTTCAGTCTATTATCTAAAACCAGGTATGAGACTAGGGGAGTGTCTCTCCAGTCTCAGTACTTTTCAGACGAGGCAGTATCTCACTGCGCCAAGGTGGCTGAGAGAGCAACTTCGTTTTGTGTTTAGACTCTGGCCAGGAGACCCATGTTAAGGCAACTATGGAATGAACCCAGAAGTGTCCCCATCAAAATCAGCCCATCTTCTGCTTGCTGATCAGAAGGTATCTGAGGAAAGGAGGGGAGAGGGGCCTGTTTTTAGAGGCAGCTATGTTCTGTGTTGAAATGGACAGGTGCAGATTGAAAGTAATAAATGTAGCTTCCCAAGCAGCCTGAGAATCGGATGCAAGAGCCCAGAGCTGTTTGTGTAAACAGGATTTGCACTGTTCCACTGCGCGCTCTCCTAATTATCTGGTGACCCAATTGCTACACGTGAACTTCAAAAGAAAGTCAGGAGCTCTGATTGGAAAATACTGAGCAGTTTGTTGTTGTTTTTAGGTGCCATCGAGTTGGTACCAACTCATAGCGACCTTATGAACAGCAGAACGAAACACTGCCCAATCCAGCCACACTTGAGTCCATCAATGCTGCCACTTGGCCAATCCATCTCACTGAGGGTCTTCCTCTTTTTCTCTGACCCTCCACTGTACCAAACATGATACCTTCTCCAGCAACCGGTCCCTCCTGACAATATGTCTGAAGTATTAGAGACGAAGTTTGGCCATCTTGGCCTCCAAGGAGCACTCTGGCTGCGCTTCATCCAACATGGATCTATTGGTTCTTTTGGCAGCTCATGGCACTTTCAATATTCTCCTCTAATACCATAACTCAAAAGCTTCAATTCTTCTATGGTCTTCCTAATTTACTTTCCAGCTTTCACATGCATATGAGGTTATTGAAAATGCCATGGCTTGGGTCAGGCGTACCTTTGTCTTCAAGCTGACATCTTTGCTCTTCAACACTTTAAAAAGGTCTTGTGTAGCAGATTTGACTAATGCAATACATCGTCTGATTTCTTGACTGCTGCTTCCGTGAGTGTTGATATTTGATCCAAGAAGAATGAAGTCCTTGACAACTTCAATCTTTTCTCCTTTGATAAGAATGTTGTTTATTGGTCCAGTAGTGAGGATTTTTGTTTTATTACATTGAGATGTAATCCATACCGAAGGCTGTGCTCTTTGATCTTCATCAGTAATGTTTTAAGTCCTCTTCACTTTCAGCAAGCAAGGTTGTATCATTTGCATATCACAGGTTGTTAATGAGTCTTCCTCCAATCACAGGTTGTTAATGAGTCTACCTCCAATCCTGATGCCATGTTTTTCTTCATATAACCCAGCTTCTCAGATTATTTGCTCACCATACAGATTGAATAAGTATGGTGAAAGAATACAACCTTGTCACACACCTTTCCTAATTTTAAACCATTCAGTGTTCCCATGTCCTGTTCGAACAACTGCCTCTTGGTCCAGGTACAGATTCCTCATGAGCACAATTAAGTGTTCCGGAATACTCATACTTGACAATGTTGTCTATAGCTTGTCATGATCCACACAATCGAAAGCCTTTGCGTAGTCAATAAAACACAGGTAAACATCTTTCTGATATTCTCTGCTTTCAGCCAAGATCCATCAGACATCAGCAATGATATCCCTCATTCCACATCCTCTTCTGAATCCGGCTTGAACCTCTGGAAGCTCTCTGTCAATGTATGCTTGCAGCCGTTTCTATATTACCTTTAGTGAAACTTTAATCGCATGGGATATCAAAGAGATTGTCCAATGATTTCCGCATTACGTTGGGTCACCTCTCTTTGGAATGGGCACAAATACAGATCTCTTCCAATCAGTCAGCCAGATAGTTATCTTCCATATTTCTTGGCAGAGATGAGTGAGTGCCTCCTGTGCTGCCTCACTTTCTTGAAAGATTTCAATTTTCATTTCATCAATTCCTGGTGCCTTGTTCTTTGCCAATTCCTCCAATGCACCTTGGACTTCCTCCCTAAGTATTATTGGCTCTTGATCATATGTTACCTCTTGAAATGGCCAAACACTAACCATTTCCCTTTGGTATAGTGACTCTGTGTATTCCTTCCATCTTCTCTTGATGCTTTCTGCATCATTCAATAATTTGCCCAGAGAATCTTTCAATAATGAAAGTTGAGGCTTGCATTTTTTCTTCAGTTCCCCCAGCTTGAGAAATGCTGAGCATGTTCTTCCTTTTTGGTTTTCTGATTCCAAATCTTTGCACATTTTGTTGCAATAATTGGCATTATATTCTCGAGCTCATCTTTGAAGGTCATATTTTGGCTTTCATGGACTTGTTTTCATTTTCTTCAGCTTCAGTTTGAATTTGCATTGAGTAATTGATGGTCTGTTCCACAGTCTGCACCTGGCCTTGTTTTGACTGAATGATGATATAGAGCTTTACCATCGTCTCTTTCCTCACATGTAGTCAATTTGATTTCTATGTGTTCCATCTGCTGAGGTCCATGTGTATATTTGTCTCTTATGTTGTCTAGAGAGGGTATTTGAAATGAAGAAATCGTTGATTTTGCAGAATTCTATCATGCAATCTCCAGCACCAAGGCCTTATTTTCCAACTACTGATCCTTCCTCTTTGCTCCCAACCTTTGCATTTCAATCACCTTAATGATGAATACATCTTTATTGCATGTTTGATCCATTTCAGATCGAAGAAATTGGTAGAAATCTTCTATTTCATCCTCACTGGCTTTAGTGGTTGGTGCATAAAGTTGAATAATAGTGGTATTAACTGGGCTTCCCTGTAGGCACACGGATATTATCTTATCACAGACAGTGTTGTACCTCATGACTGATCTGGATATGTTCTTTTTGACAATGAATGCAACACCATTCTTCTTCCATTTGTCATTTCCGGCATGTGTTTATCAGATTCAAAATGGCCAATACCAGTCCATTTCAGCCCACTGATGCCTAAGATATTGATGTTTATGCATTCCATTTCATTTGTGACAACTTCTAATTTTTCCAGATTCATACTTCATACATTCCATGTTCTGATTTTCAGTGGATGTTTATAGCTGTTTCTCTTCATT